ACACACACACACACACACACACACACACACACACACACACACACACACACACACACACACACACACACACACACACACACACACACACACACACACACTTCTCCGCCTCATTCTGTTTTCATTTACTCGTTCGTTATCTGACCAGCTTCAATCTTGTAGGCTACTCACTTCGTTCCTTGGAGCCCTCGAAAGCGTTTTGGAGGTTGATGCCTCGGTGAACTTGAGTGGTTTGGCTTTCTTGTCCGCAGCAGCAGAAAGAATTTTCGAATGTTTGAATGAATCAAAGTGGGTCGTCACCCTCGATTTTCTCTAAGACGTATGCTCCAACACACAGTTGCACGGGGTGCAGAATAGTTTCCCCCCACTTTCGTGAAAGACATCGGGGTACTGCTTTGCCCGGTCTTTAGCAGAAATGTTCGTCGTGTGAGTTCAACACGTTCACTCTACGGTGTTGTTTACCTTCTGTGATGATGGCGCGTCATCATCATCACTACTTCACGTCAAGATGAGTTAACTTTTTTTTTTCTCAACTTTCGGTGGAAAAATGCTGGGATTATGCGGCCTTTTGATAAATATGCGGCCTTGTAAAAATCTGCGCCATTTTGCTGATTATGCGGTAAATTCTGCGATCGCAAAATCGCGTTTTTCTGGAGGGTCTAGTTAGCATTGAGCTAGAAGCATTTCACATCATCTGAGTGACTGTAGACTCTTAAGTCCCACGTTTGTATTCTTTGTATGTCGAAATGAAGTATATCGGTAAGATTATACTTTCACTGCTTGACATATTCCATCCATGCAGAGTCATAGTTGCCAAGTCATCCTGATTTTGTGAAAAGGGCACGCTGTGGGATGACATATGCTGTTGCAAAGTCATCATCAGCGTTTGTACAATCATGCATTTAGAAATATTCACTATTCATTATCCTAGAAACTGTCTTGTCATCGACCTCCTTGCGTCATCGCAGAGTGTTTTTAACCGAGACATTCCAACGATACAGAAAATCATACTGTAGATTGCTCAACTCTTTGTCAACTCAACATTATGCCTATTACCTGAAAGAGCAGCTCCTCCCACCTTACCTGTAGGCACTTTATTGCATCCCCTGCACCGACTAGGACTAACACCTGAGAGGACATCAGAGACCAGTGTCTCCTTTCCACTGGTAAGTGCAAGATACATATGTGTTTGTCAGTGTGTCTATATTTAAATGTATATCACATTTTTGAAAGTGAATGTTAACACTTTAAATCAAGTCTATTGCTGTATGTACAGTGTTGTGAGTCATGTGTGCAGACCTCTGTTTGCTGTGTGAGCTTATATAATGGAAGGTAATATATCAATAAAATATGTGCACTTATGGTCTAAGGTTAAAGCAGAATTCAAATGACTTATTCAAATGTAAGGCAATATGATAATACTCCTACACTCAAATACAGGGTGCAATATGTAGTAGTACTAATTTAGCAGAAAGGCTGCTGTCCGTTTTGTATAATTATTTATTATTATTGATAAAGTATGATATTGTAATGATGTGCTTGGTTTTGGTGGAGATATAATTGTTGAATTTTTTTTTGATCCGATCAATTGTTTCATATGTAAAAGGTAAAAAGAAGAATATCTTTCTGAAATAAAAGTATTAGTTGCTTTAATAATAATGTAAGCGCCTCAAAATTGTATTTAAATGAGCATTCCACAGGTGCCGCTTGACACACCTGGTAATTATAGTTACCGCTAATTAAAAAAAAGCATTCCATTCTCCACTTAACCTGATATTTGACACCAACTTCTGTGAGTCACTGCTGTCCATCTGTTGTAACCATACCGTATCCCTTTCTGGCCCACTGGCACTGAGCCAACACCTGCATGACACAGCACAATGTTACTACTAGTATCAACTACAGTAACAGGGAGTTTGAATCCTTAGCCACGTGATGGAGGGCCGAGGTTCATGAATGCTAACAATAAACTAGAGTTCAGTCAGGGATAGCATACTTTGATCATTGAAACGCATGGACAACAACAATACAAGAGATTTGAAAGTTTCAAAAATACACTTTGACAGGTTTAGTGATGACTTGCCTTGTTTTGTTCAGCATGATGAGCAATCTCCACACATCAACACCACTCTTTTAATAATGAAATCTCCAGATTGTGATTCTCACTTAGTAACCCATATGTGGTTTGAATTTCGAGAAGTTGTTTTGTTTCTATTGATGTTGCACATTTAAATGCTTCATCAATGTTCCAACTTGCTGCTGTAAATCAGCACCTATCAGCCATTGTTGTTGTTCCGTTTTGCCACATGGTTTCTAGATTGTAAACAAGCGTTTCATTCACCTCCACGCCCTGCTTCACCTCTCAGTGCTACTACAGCATGATGTCACCGGTGTTACAACACGCGGGTTTTACTTGTGGTCCCCGTTTAGCCTCATGGACTTTGTATCGCCTGCCAAAGCGGGACACAGATGTTTCCAACCCTTTCTTGTGATCCGGCCACAGTGCTGAGGCAGCTCCTTGGATTTGGCAAAAGGCACTTTTCTGTCATCACCATGTGGCGGGATTTTGGCGTGCGTTGAGCAATTGGCCCCTTTGAAGCGTAGTTGCCAGGAGGATTTTACAGAATAACTGAAACCAGTCATATGGCCCCAGTTTTCCCCCAACAGCACTGAAGAGTCTCCTTGTAGATCCTCTGTCAATGGGACAAGGAGTTACCTGAGGCTTTGTGTTGTTTATGAACCATAGCTGTGTACAAATGGGCTAATATAGCAGCAGCGGGCTAGGTGTAGAGTTGTGACGAATGGAATTAAATATTACTCCAAGATAACACAATGACTGTCATCAAGACACAGCAATAAGAAAAGTTCCTTCAAAGTTTGGAGACAGGTTTTTAGCCAAAGTTGTTTTATGAAGGGGATCCAGGCTTAATAATTGTGTGGCATTGTACCCCTCGCACCCCCCTTAAGACTTGCCAGGAACATAATCCTGGTGCTGAAATTCAAAATCTGTTTATTTAATGCAGTCAAATTTAAGGCTTTTGACGCTAATAAATGTCATAATAAGGCTTAAAGACTCCTACACTTTGCCACGTGTGTTATTTGTAACACGTTTCAGTTTTTTTCCTGAAAATCCAGGGGCCCCTCCACAAATCCCCAGTGAAGCAGTGTGGCCCTTAGAGCCCCTTGACCAAGGCGCTTAACCTCAATTAAGTCTCCCGGCGTCCAAGCGTATAAAACGCCTGGCTGAGGAATTCAAAAATCTCCCATAAGTTAGAGCTGCCAAGCGCACAATGAAATAACCAAATGGGGTTATAATGGGTGCGATGGCCTGTAATGATATAATTACTTCGCAGGTAGCCCACAACGTTGCCACAATGTCGGCAAATTATTATTTTTTGGGTGTAAAATCGTAAATTCCTTCCAGTTAATTCATAAACCGGCCTTCAAAGTTAGATTCCCGCAGAGTTTTCTTTCTCCCTGGGGATGAAAAACAGGAGTCTTTGTATTTGCTGTCATTCGTGGTGGAAAAGGAGCGGGGGGGGGGCTTATTATTTGATGTTTTGAGATAATCCAGCACTGCATTCCTCCCTGGGGCAACCACAGCCCAGAGTGTGAAGCTCAGGGACTTTAAACTACATTAGATGCTTTAATAACTATACAGCTGACTTAACTTGACTTCCACACTGATTATCTTTTTTTACTTTTCTCTCTAGTCATCCACAACAAATCACATTTCCAAAAATACCTATAGATTCAAAACATAATCAAATGTATGCCCGGTGTAAATAGCACTGTCTACTATGGATACCTGGGTGCATGTGTCTCTGCCATGCTGTAAACACCCCGGGTACAAATAGCATTGTTCATTATTGACACCCGGGTGTAAATAGTATCTGCCTTATAACATTTATGTAGTTTTTACTTAGCTAAAGCATCAACAAAGCTGCTGTCATGGAGAGCCGCTCTGATTGCCCTCTGTATGATGTCAGCACACAGGACATATTTTCGTACGCATATTGTAATCCCCTCTGTCTAATGTGCTCTATACATATTGTGCAATATTTTAAATATAATGTACAGTTGTGTCAAATATAGATATCACATGGGCAAACCAAGATGTTCTGTTCACACAAAATGGCCATTGTTTATGATGCTTCAGGGTGGAAACGACATGTTGGATGTAACAACGACTATGACTCCCATGATCGTTTAGCCCCTATCTTCAGGCTCAGTGAGCGTCAGGAATCCTGTTTTCCCTCTGAGTGCCTGTTTCATCACAGACGAAAACCGGTTGGGCTAAGGGAGAGCAACAGTGTGCTCGCTTTCCTGTAAAATGATGCGAACGAACAGGGTCATAATTAATCCATCTCATTAAGGCGCTACATTGAGGCTTAGAGGGCATCCACGTTAACAGGTAAGTTCAGCTTAAGGACAGGCATCGTAGTGAGTCACAGATTCTCATAATTCATTGTTTTATCCTCCATTTTGCGTGATTTGATCTTATATTAATTTGTATAAAAATGTTGTGCAATGTAACCTAGAAACATGTTGAGGTTATTTTAAAACTAAATTACTTATTTGACCATTCCAGGAAGCAACATTTTCAATCTAAGTAGTATAAATTCAGGCAAAAACATCTCTATTTCAAATATATTTGCCCATTAACCTTTTTATATCACAAAATGCAAGTGCTATTTCCAGAAAAAACTTACTTCACAAGAATTTAAACTTCTTTGGGTAAATGCAAGCCTCTATTTGTAGTTATCCTAAACAGCAAAATTAACTTAATTTTCGATACAGAGAAAAGATCATATAGGTTTATTGTCATTCTGTTTTTATAAATAACATCCTTCATGTATTTTGTTTGTTTTAGTTTTAGCT